CCTCCCATCTCCTGCGAGGAGTGACTCAGTTTCCTTAAATGTTCCCCATTCCTAAAATCGGGACAAGACTCTACTGGCTGCAAAGGTTCAAGGGTGAGGATTAAAGGCAGTGTTATGGCCGGTGCCCAGCACAGTGCCTGGCACACAGTGGCCTCCTATAGCCCAGGGCCATGGCATTGCCTGGCGAGACCCAAGCCAGGTCTTGCTCCTCCACGGAAATGCTTTTGACTTTGATGCTGAGCTCCCGGCACGCTTGCCATCTGTACCACACAATTTATTACCTAATTATAGATGTCTTGAAACAATTAGGGAACAATTCAATATAGCATAATAAAGTTCCAAATTGAATTCAGTCAAGTTCCTTCCAGCTCTTAAGTATGATGGTTCCAAACCCCAGCCCGTGCAGTGCATGAGAGACACTCACGCAGACCACAAGCCAGAGAGGAGGGCTCTGCTCCAGGCCCAGACACCTGCTGGCTCCCTCTTCTGAGGGGTGGGGAATCTCTGGTCAGGGCATGTGTTATCTGGGACTCACCCATTCGCTTGTGGCCGGTGCTACCCTTCTGCTTGGGAATTCCCTAGCGCTCTAATCAGGAAACCCAGCAGCAAGAGAAGGAGGCTATCTTGGGGGCAACAGTCCTCTTGGGGGCCAGGAGCCTGGGTCAGCTCTGTTCTAGATCTCAAGGAGAGGGGTTCCTTAAGTTGTACCCAAACACCAGGAAGGCCAAGGCTGTGCAGAGTCAGGAGAAGAGGCCAAAGAGACCACCCAACCGGGCCGCCTACGGACTGTGTCTGAAACTACAGGGTCTGCAGATCCCAAAGTTGCATCTGTAGGGATTCTGCCCAATTCTTCAGAACCTAAGTCTCCTTGGGATTTGGAGGATACCGGAGCAAACACAAAGGGTTGGTGTGTACTTGCTCGCTAGTTATCTCTGTCGTCCGTGCGGACACATCTTTCAAAAGGTAAGGTTAAAGGCACAATCAGGGAAGGCTTCAAGGAGGAGGTGGAGTAACAGGTAGATATGGTGGGAGGACAAGGACTTGGATATGGAGCAGGATCCAGTTGGCAGAAACCAAGTGAATTCTTTTGTGCTGTGACTATGGGCCTGGCTGAGTCTGCCAGTGCCTAGGGGACTCCTGCCTCACTGTCCTCAGTTCCCCTGTGGCTGGGGGTCCTTTCGCTGGGGCATCCAGAGGCAATGACAAGGCTGTCCACCCTGCAGCACCAAGGTCACCATGGATGCAGCTGCCTCTCCCTGGCCTCCTGGCAGTCACCGGGCAGGCAGGCAGTTGGTCACAGAGCATGAGGGCTCTCCTTCTCTCGCCTTCCCTCTGACCCTTTCTGGGATTTCCAAGTGTTTGGGATTTCTCAGACGAGTAATTCCAGAAGTATATCACGTGTCTTCACCGTGTTCCCTGTGCTAGTAACAGATTATCTGCCTTCAGTGACTCCTCCGCTTTTTCCACATCTCCTCCCCAGTCTCCTTTGCCCACCCTGCTACCCAGAACCCTCAAACTACCCCACTACTGAGGTTGCTCAAGAGAAAATCTCTGATCATCCCAATCTGGGAATGAGCTGTTGATTCCCAAGTATTTCCCCTTTCTGGGGTTAATTTTCAAATACAGTGTGGAGAGAAGACAAGGTTGAAGGCAAAGGAATAAATCTCTAAAGGAGAAATCAGGGACATTGACACTTGCTTTCTTACCAAAGGCCTGTACTATGACCCTGCTCCATTCATTCTTTTATTCAATGAACATTTTGTTTGTTTGTTTGTTTGTTTGTTTGTTTGTTTATTTATACAAGCACTGGGTACAGTCAGAAGCGCGGGAGGGTGAGAGAATTCACCAGAGCCAGAGCGGGGAGCAGAGCAGGCAGAAGGACCGAGGTACACTGCTGAGGGGAGCAGCGGGCGGCAGGAGAGGTCTGCGCTCCATGTGGGACCCTCCTCCGGTGGCGGCCGGGGAGCAGGCGCTGCAGAGGCTGAGGGCAGCTTCGCAACCCAGCATTTGTCCAGCACCTACTGCGTGCCAGGTGTCCTGCTGGGTGCAGAGAATGCAAAGATGGAGAAGCACCATCATTGCTATCTTAGTGGGGGAGACAGAAACATCAGCACCTCATTTCAACATGAGCCTGTCTTCCAAGACCTTCCCACCTGTTCAAAGTACCCACTTAGCCGATCAAAAATTATTCTTATCTGCTCATTAAAGCAGTTCCCCTAAGGACACTTAATGGACAACACTTTTAGACCTAGACTTGGAATTAATAAAGCTATACGTCAGTATATATTTTAAAACTCACACACTTTCCATTCTGGCTTGGATTTCCCCCAATGAGAAGCTCTGCCCACGGTTTTTATGAGCACTACTGGCCTGAATTTCCTCTGCGGTGCTCTTTGAGTTTTCCAGACCAGTTATTTGGAGCTGCTCCTTCTCCTGTGGCTCCTAGTAGAGCATACAATTTATGAGTCATTTGCTTTTTTCTGCCCCTCGTTACCCTCCGGTTATATAGGGTGCCTCCTGATTTCCCTTCCAACCCAGTTAATAATAAATGGTAGCAGGCTGTCCCGCACGTCTATATACCACACGACTATAGATAGCAAAATATGCCATGCACTGAATTATTCAATAGCTGGATAATACCACGAAGTTCATCACAGATGCCAGGCACCGAGAGTTGTTAATTGGGATAATGCACTTTCCCTCTGCAGAGCACTTTCCCCGGTGTCCTCGTGAGGTCCTCCCCCAAGCCCGCAACCCTGCTGCCAGGAGCCATCCTACCCATTTTAAAGAGGCCAGAAGCTGCTCCTGCAACCAAATAAAAAACCTGCACCATTCCATTCACTTACACCAGGTATTATTTCCATGTATAGACTCCAGCTATACCTACTGTGGTTTCTCACCCAGGTAGGTACATTTGGGGTCAATCAGGAATTGGGATTTGATATTGGAATGGTCCCCCCAAATTTTGGGATGTGTGGTCATCACATTTATTCTGTGACTAAGGGAGTTCTCGGTCAAATGGCAGCTCTCCAGGAGGAAATCAATTCAAATTGGTGGCAACGTTGAGTAAAGGGCACCTTAATTCCCAACACGCTGACAGAGGCCAGCATGTCCCTGGTCCTGACGCAGCCCACTATTAGGGAAAGAAAAGCGAGCAGAGTCAATGGGAGAGAGTCAGTAAAGGGGGAGGGGCAGGAGGTGGAACGGGGAAGAAAGGGGAGGGGGGAGGCAGGGACTAGGGATGGAGGACAGTGGGCCAAGGAAGGGTAGCAGGGAGGAGGCACAAAGAGAACAGGTGGGTCGAGAGGCAAAGAAATTAGAGACAAAACCTCTCAGCATGGGGCCTCCCCGGTGGGTGGTGGGTGGTGCAGCGGTTGAGCGCTGGAAGCTGCCTGCAGTCTCGGCCACCAGAGGAGGGTCCCACATGGAGCGCAGACCTCTCCTGCCGCCCGCTGCTCCCCTCAGCAGTGTACCTTGGTCCTTCTGCCTGCTCTGCTCCCCGCTCTGGTTCTGGTGAATTCTCTCACCCTCCCGTGCTTCTGATTGTACCCAGTGCTTGCATAAATAAATAAATAAATTAATTAATTAATTAATAAATAAAAATAAATCTTAAAAAATAAATAAATAAACAAAAACCTCTCGGCATGGAAGACAGACGCAACCAGCGGAGGGAAAGGCTAAAAGCAGATGCATGATGGTTTCACCACTGCCCAGGGGCATCTGCCCAGAAATGGTCCCCCAGCAGCCTGTCCCTCCTTTCTCAGTTGATTCACATTTTCTAGCCAAAACTTGCAGGTGAGTTGTTTAAGAAGTCCTCCACGGTAGGGGCAGATACTGCCGAGTCACCCAGGCCATCCCCATCTGGGTGCTGAGAAGGCAACAGAAGGCTCAACTCTGGAGGCTCAACATCTAAAGGGCAACCCTGGGAGGCACCCCGGAGGCGGAGCAGCTGGCCAGGCCCCCAGCACACATACATGGGAAGGACCGGGGTCCGAAAAGGCCAGAATAAGACCCTGACCCCAGACCAAATTAGCAGCTGCCCCAGCACCCTGTCTGTGGACAGCACTGGTTTCTGACAACGGAGCTACATCTTTACTTTTCTATGTTTTGAATAAAACATATATGGCGGCAACCCCTGAAAAACACCACTTCTCCTCTGCGGGAATTTAATATTTTGGTGTCAAAATTAGCAGCAACAAACACTCAGGCCTCTTTCCCATTGTGACAGTTCTCAGAGTTGGCCCATACTTAGAAATGCAAAAATGAAGGTATGAAACAACACGCTCATCCCCTGGAAGCTCTTAGTGAACTGGTCCCGGCCTCACCCAATTCCAAGCAAAGAAGACATCTTGCCTTGTCAGAAAAAAATCGCCTACAGTGCCCCCCTGTAATATGTGGGCCCTACTGAGAATATTCCGTTTTCATTCATCCAGTGAACATTTACTATGCTCCTACTGAATACACAGTGTACTTAATGGCTGACTTGAGCTCCAAACACTCAGCAGATCAAGAAGAAATAACCATGTAATGGTGTGAATGTCAACCCCCAGTGCCATCGTGGGTGGAAGTGGTCCCCAGCCAAGGTCCTCCTCACCTGTGGGCAGGGCAGTGACTGCCTGCACAGTGGGATTTCAGGGGGCAGGGAGCCCCTGCCTGACAACAGCCCCCTGTTGCCCCCCACTCACACACCCACAGAGTTTGAGGCTGACACCTGAAGTCCTCGCATCAGCGACAGAGCTTGAGACCCAGACTCCCTCCCTAAACCACCACCCTTTTGCCCCAGAAAGGGACCGGTGAATCCCTCCTTTGCTGTGGTTGGGTGCTATCCCTCACCCCTCAGTCCCCTCAGAGGCAACAAGGCAGGACCACAAAATACAATGAGCTTGGAGCCAAGTCTGCTTCTTCCCTGGGGGTCACTTTGGGGGTGGGCCATGAGGCAGGGGCTGTAGGGTCAACCCCCAGCGGCTCCCCCCTCCCTGGTCATTTGCTGGGGTCTGTACCTGGAGCTGGAGTCACTGCCGCTCTGCACTGCTGGGTCGTCCGTGACATTAAAGAGCCCCGTCCAATTGGCCAACTGGTCACCACTCTGCCAACCAAACTGGAGGCCTCTGGCAAGAGAACGAGGCAGTTGGTACTCACGCTCACACGCTGGGTTAAGCCCGTCTACCAGAGCCACATCCGTCACTCTGCTGAGTGACACACGCCTCGACTGTGCACTTAGTGCAGAAGAGGGTGGCTTCCAACCAGGAGGAGGGTGATAATGGGCATGGCTCTTTGCAGTGTTCTCTGCACGTCCACACCCATCCCATTTCATCTTTCCTGGCTGGGACAGGTCACACATTGTACAGACAGGGGCACTGAGACTTAGCAAGATCAAGGTCCCAGAGCTTTCCAGCCTCCTAGCGCCTGCACTCGCAGTCCCTGCTCCTGGAGAAGACACCACAAGTTTCATTCGGCATGTGGCCATCCTCATAGGCCAGACGCACTACAAAGCTCTTAGTGCAATCTTGTTTCCAAGACATGAGGATACTCCTCCTGGCTTAAGATGACAGACTCAACTCACATGGTCATCCTGCTCCCTCCCCAAACCTGGCTGGATTGACAGCAAAGGGGAAATTGAAGGCGAGGGTAACAGAAGAGGCAACGTTTTGAAGATAAAAAGCAGGTGGGCCACTGCCTTAGGCCAGACTGGGACCCTGACTGTCTATAAGAAGCAAATCTACTTTCCATGCCCAGCACAGAAAGGCTCAGAAATTGGTGCTCACGGGGGCCACTGAAGGTTGGAGTGCAAAATGGAGCTGAAAGTAGGAAGATTGATTTAAGTTTATATAAGGAGCAGTTAGACAGCCCCCCCCCCACACACACACACACACTAGAGGGCCCCTTCCTTAATCCAGGCAGTCCGGCACTCGCTTGCCTGCCCACCCCACAGATGTCAGGAGGTGTGTTCTCTGGAGCTGAGCCAGAGCTCTGCACTGTTTTCCTCATATAGGTGTCCCCCGCTATCTGAACATAGAATGTTACTATTTAGTATAATTTGGAGGGTTATTTCTGGGGTCTTGGAAGGCTGTTACCATTAATTAATATGGAAAATTTTTGAGCATTCTCAAAATAACCAAAAAGAAAGTTCTACTTCTAATATCAGGGAAAACCTGCACAAAGAGACACTAAATTGAAAACAGCCAAAAGTGGCACCTGGCTTCAGGATGCTGGCCCCACCACCCTGCCCCACAGGTTGGCTCGGGATGGGTTTCTCGGGGAGAACTTGACCAAATGTCAAGAGAAAAAGCTATGGAGGAAAGGGCTGGTGCCACCCAATTACCCCATATGGATTTCTCAACTTGCCACCACTGACATTTGGAACTGGACAATTCTTTGATGTGAGAAAGTGCTGTGTATCGTGGGATGTTGGACAGCGTCCCTGGTCTCCACCCTCTGTGCCCACCTCAGCCCTCACCTTCCACCCCCTGTTACAATAATCAAAAATGTCTCCAGATATTGTCAAGTGCCCCCGGGGCAAAGCTGTTCTGAGTGAGAATTACTGTGGTAAGACACTGCCCACTGCACAGAGCTCCAAAGACCTTCTAGAGAACTGCTTGTCTTTAAATATGAACAGGCCATCAAAGAACTGGCACATGAGGCGAGCTTCAGCCTGAGAGAAGAGACTAAAAGAAACAAAAATAAAACTCTTATAAAACACTTCAAAATAAAGCCTTTTAAGAGATGGCCTCTGTGCTGAGGGAATGGACAGTGATGTGTGCAGGAGCTGCGTCTGGTCCACCCACGTGAGCCACTGATAAGCCAGGTGACCTCAGCCAAGTCTCCGGACATGTGTTCCCGGCTTCAAGGAAGGATGTCTCAGATGTCTCCAAAGTCCTGACTAGAAGTATCTCGAAGCTGAGCCGTCTCCTATGCTCACCTCCTGGGAAGTCGAGGTGGCCCCATGAGCTGCTGAGCCTGGTTTCCAGCCAGACTCCAAGCAGAGGATGCCCCTTGGGGCCTGATAGCAGAATGTGCATATATGGGTGCTCAACCCGGCTCTGCCGAGTGACTGCTGTGTTCTTCTCATGGCCGCCGTTCTCCATGGCAGAGGGGAGCTCAGCCTTCATAATGAATGAACAGAAAAGCAGGAAATGGGCCATAGGGACCCACCCTGAGGAAAGGAATAGGGGCAGCTCCCAGGACAGAGCCTGAAGCCTCAGCAACAGGACCATCTCAGTCTCTACCTGCACATACATTTATATATGTATTGATGTATAAAATATACAACTGCATGTATATTTATATCTCCATATTATTTATAATATAAATATCACATATTCATATTTCTATAAAATTGTGTTATAAACATAAATCTAGCATTAATTTTAAATAATACAGCTATAATATAAATTTATTTGTTTATCTACTTATTTATTTGAAGGGATTAAATTTCCTGTCCAAGAGATCAGCAAGAGAGAATTTGGATTTGTTTTATTCAGAAGGAAAACACTTATTGCGCGCCTACTACAAATCAGGCCCCGTGTCTGCAATCCTCCTCCATTCCCACAAGTGCCGAATGTGGAAAGTCTCATTATCGCCACTTAAAGATGATGAAGCCTGCAGCTCAGAGAAACTCTTGGCAACGTGCCCAAGGTCCTATGTCTACAAGTGGCCAAGCTAAGATCTAAACCCAGGCCCTCTGACTCTAAGAAACTGCACTAAAAGCATTTACCAGGCTGTCTGCAGGCCAATAAAGCAATGTTTCTGCTTGGGAGTTTGCAAATTAGCTGGTGTGCAAGCATATTCAAGCAATTCCCAGCTCAGCTAGCAGCTGTCTCTCCCCACCCAGCCCACCCACAGTGAGACCCCTGGTGTCCCTTCCCAGGAGAGATTCCCCCACATGGTTGGGGAAGTGAGAGACTACTGCGCAGACATTCATGACAATATATTTAAGGAGGAATTCTGATGACATGAAAAGGTGTGTGTAACAAATTAAATGAAAAATGCAGAAGGAAAGCAGCAGTGATTTTTTTGTTGTTCCATTTTATACCATACAGCTAGCTCTCTTTGAAAGATAGGATTAAAGTGTGTTCCTTCTCCAGCAATACCTTTGGATCTATCGCAACAAAAAGAAAGAAAAAACCTGTAGTTGTAAAATGTATTTTATAACTTAAACACCATTTCTGAGATAGGTATAGGAATTGTCCGTTATTAGTCAATTAGATAGCAATGGTAAGAAGATGTTTGAAGACGTGAAGGAGACTAACAAAGAAAAAGGATATTTTATTCACTCATTTATTCAGCAAACATTTACTGAGCATCAACTATGTGCCAGAAACTGCTAGGTACTGGGGCAAGAAGCCCCTTTTCAAAGTGCTTACCTAGAATTAAGGTGATCAAACTAACCCACATAAAAACAACAGCAGGCAAGACAGGGCAAAACCAAGGGCAAAAAAACCAAGGGCTGTTTATGTTTCATTTATTTTAAAAAGAAAGAAGATTTGAAATAAATATGGCAGAAGGTTCACAAAGTTCAGTATCATTAATTCTCAGTCATGACTATATGGGTGCTTGTTATATTATTCTCTATATTTTCCTGTACTCAATTTCTTATTAATAAAAGATGTTACAACGATTTTTTAAAATCAAGTGTTGGACTATGCTAAACTGGGGTCACTGTCAAAGCCTGGGAGGAGCGAAGGGCAGGCACTTCCTGTGCTCCCTTAGCCTTGCAGAATCTTAGCACCCAGCAGGGGAAGCTGACATGAGAGCTGTCTTAAATCTAGAGAAATGTGACACATAAAGAACTCTTTACGCCGAGCTATTCACGGCTGGATTCAGATAGAGGCCTTGAGCGCTGAAAAGTTTGGGGTGCATCTCACTCTTGTGTTTATTCAAAAATTACATACCTATTAAAATTAAAAAAGCTTTCGTCAGATTTTTGGATTATCTGTGATAGATTTCTTGAGGTTCAGCTTTTCTCTGTTTTTGTGGTGGCTGTTAACCACAGCCCTGCTTAGCTGGGTGACCCACAGTCCTGCATGTTAACCCCCTGCTCTCACAGCAATAAATCCTGCGGCCAGCCGAGGGTGGCGAATACAGCCCAGGCTTCCCAGAATCAACTTCCGGGGGAATTTCAGGGCAAAAACCAAAATCTGACCCCAGAGAAGCAATTTTAAAACAGACAGAATTGCCCATTTGCGAGGTATTACCTCCATTAGTACTAGCTTCCAAAAATTATGAAGGGTATAAAATATATACCAGTAACTTAAAAAATACATGTTCCAGGCACTGTGATAAGTTTAAATGTCATTGACAGTCCTCCCAAGACCTGGGTGGCAACTGTTGTCCCCATTTCAGAGCTGATGAACTTTAAGTTCAAGGAAGTCAGATTCATAACCTGCCCAGGTAGTGGACAAAGCAGAAAAGCATTCACGTGCATGCCTGACCCAGAGATCTTTGCTGTTTCCTCCTCCCCTTTTGCCCCACACTCCTCATGCTTTTTCGACAAAAAAAAAAAAAAAAAATTCCAGTATTTTTAGTATTATGAGAGCTGCTGTCTTTGCTGTGGATCACTCACTCATGAAATCGATATTAAAAACCTTAGATTATAATTTTAAAAAGAAGGTCCTCCTAAATCATCTCTGAATCTTCTCCCATTTTGATTGAAGACCCAAAATCATAGATTTCTTTTTTTTTTACTGATTTATTTATTTATGCATATAGGAGCTGGGATACAGGCCAGAGTTGTGGGGGGGGTGAGAGGATTCACCAGAGGCAGTAGGGAACAGAACAGGCAGACTGACTGAAATACACTGCTGAGGAGAGCAGTGGGTGAGTCAGGAGAGGTCTGCTGCACCATGTGGGTAGCTCCCTGGCCAGCCAGGGGATTGAACTCGTACTGCAGAGGCTGCAGATAGCTTCATAGGTTGCGTCTCAACCCCTTGCGCCACCAGGGAGGCCCCCAAAATCACAGATTTCTAACATGGGACTTCTGGCACTGGAGAAATTAGCGGAGACAATTTGTGGGGGTTGGGGGTTTAGGGAGCATCCGGGACTCTCCATCTGCCTCGTGTGGGTAATGACACAACCTGCCGTTGCACATGGCGGGCCCAGGCCAAGCAAC